TCCCACATTTGCCCACATGTTCGGGGGAATCGACGATACATTGTGTCTGTGTGTGTGTTTTTTTTTTGTTCCCTCCTGAGGTTAAGTCGGGCCTGTCCCTCTACAGGGGGAGTATCCAAACATAGTCCAAAAATAAGTCAGGGGACGATTTCTTGACTATTTTTTTCTTGACCTTTTGGGTGTCGTTCTTGACTATTTCTTATTTTTCGTCTAAAATCCCCCTGTGGGGGGACACGCCCGACCTCGAGGATGGCCTTCAAGGGGCCCTAGGACGCACAAATGAACAGGCACAAATCGCAGGACTCCCCATCTTCTTTCTGCATCTTCTGGGCGTTTGCCTTCCCCCCCCACTCCCCACATTTGCCCACATGCTCTGGGGAATCGACGCTGCACTGTGTCTGCGCGTTTTTTGTTCCCTCCCGAGGCCTGTGAAGGGGCCCTGGGACACACAAATAAATACACACAAATAAAAGGATTCCCCATATTTTCCCATATTTTCTGGGTTTTTGTCTTCCCGCCCAATTCCCATATGTTTCCATATTTTCTTGGGGATCGACGATGAATTGTGTCTGTGTGTTTTTTCCCCCTCCCGAGGCCTGGTAGCACTCCAGCCGCGCATAGTGCAGCTGCTGCACGCGCGCGCTCAGCGGGTCCGCGGCCCTCAGCGCCTCGTCGCGGGGGTCCCGGGCCCGGGCGACGCCCGCGCAGAGCGCCACGAGGCCCTCGCACGCGGGACGGCATCCGCACACCGCCGCGTCTGGCCAGGGCTAAGGTCGGGCCTGTCCCCCTCTACAGGGGGATGTTTGGACGAAGAATCTAAAGGGAAATTGAGACACGCAAATAAATACACACAAATAAAACTATTCCCCATATTTTCCCATATTTTCTGGGTTTTTGTCTTCCCCCCCAATTCCCATATTTTCCCATATTCTCCTGGGAACCGACGATTAATTTTGCCTGTGTGTTTTTTCCTCTCCTGAGAATCATTTAAAAAGTGCCCCAAAAATGCTCCAAAGATGCTCGAACATAGGAGAAACCAAAAAAATGGGGTCCAGACTATTGGTTTTTCCTATGTCGGAAGCTTCCCCCTGCAGAGGGACAGGCCCGACTGAAGGCCAGGGCCGCCCTGGGCCCACGCAAGGTGTACACGCCTCCTGGCCGAGGCCAGGAGGGTCTGTACACCACCAAGGGGCCCAGGGTAGCCTTCGCCAGCCCCGGTGGTGGGGTACAGATCTGCGGATGCCACGACAATGCACACCCTAACAGTCCTACCATTGAATGTAACATGTGTTTGAAATGTCGGACAACGAAACATGTCTCAAACATGTGTTTCACATGTTGAAAAACGTGTTTTTAGCACATGTCTTAGATCTCCATGGATTATCCCCACAAGCATATTTGTTTAGCTTCCTTTTAGATCTACCCCCCCAAAAAATAAGCTCAAAACAAAACGTGTTTAAGATCTCCATGGATCGTCCTCCACAAGTGCAGATGCCCTCTGCGGGCCTTGCACGCTCCGACGGCGCGAAGCAGGCCGCAAGCCCTGGCCAGGTCCACCCGCGCGGCGTGCTGCAGCAGCGCGCGCAGGGCCCGCTGCACCAGCGCGCCGAGGCGGGCCCTGTCGAGCAGGTCGCCGGAGCCCCTCGCGGCCGCCAGGCTGCCCTGGACGGCCGCCAGGAGCTCGCACGCCTCCTGCACCTCCAGGTCCTCTAGGGGAACAAAAAGTGGCATAAGCATAAAAACTCGGAGGTCCGCGCGGATTTCTCGGATCGGCGCTGGACCCCCCTCCCTGGCGCGCGGAGCGCGCCAGGGGCGGCGCCAGAGGCGCCGCCGGGGGGCCCCAGCGCCGATCCGAGAAATCCGCGCGGACCTCCGAGTTTTTATGTTTATGTCACTTTTTGTTCCCCTATCCTCGGCGCTGAAGAGGGACGGGCACCTCGGCGCGGCGACACTCGTGCGCAGAGGGCATCTGCAGTCAACCCGCATCACAAGGGCGCACGGCAGGGATGCCAGGGCCTCGGAAGGCCATGTCGGCGCTCTTCGAGCGGGGCGAGGCCAACGAAAGCGGCCAAGGATGGGCCGAGGAGGCAAGGATGCGGGGGTACCCTTGGGAAGGTTGCACATCCTTACCATGCGGGCCGACTGTATACACCACCACCCTTCCTGGCCAGGGCCATCCTGGGCCCTGGCATGGTGTATACGCCTCCTGGCCGAGGCCAGAAGGGTCTACACACCGTCGTGGAGCCCAGGGTGGCCTGGCCGGGCACGGTGGTGGTGTATAGATGGCATCTGCGGAACTCATGCACCTCGCCTGCCTGTGTCACCCCCGCCCCTTCGAGGCCAGTGAAGGTGCACGGGCTTCGAGGCTCTCGGGGAAGCCTGGAGGGCGCACAGCTCTCCTGCCCATGGCAGGGGGCAGTCCCGAGCAAGGTCGGGCGAGGTGCAGAGATTCCTCCTCCTCCTCCTCCTGCTCCTCCTCCTGCTCCCCCTGCTCCTGCTCCTCCTCCTCCTGCTCCTCCTCCTCCTCCTCCTGCGCCTGCTCCTCCTCCTGCTCCTGCTCCTGCTCCTCCTCTTCCTACTCCTCCTCTTTCTCACTACCCTCCTCCCTCCTCCTCCTCCTCCTCCTCTCCTCCTCCTCCTCCTCCTCTCCTCTCCTCCCCCTCCCCCTCCTCCTCCTCCTCCTCCTCCTCCTCTCCATCCTCCTCCTCCCCTCCTCCTCCTTCCTCCTCCTCCTCCTCCTCCTCCTCCTCCTCATGCCTCCTCTCCTCCTTCCTCCTCGCCCCCCCCTCACTCCTCCTCTCTCCTCCTCCTCCTCCTCCTCTCCTCCTCCTCCCTCTCCTCCTCCTCATCCTCCTCCTCCTCCTGCTCCTCATGCCCTGCTCTCCTCCTTCCTCCTCCTCCTCCTCCTCCTCCTCTCGCCTCCTCTTCACTCATCCTCCTCCTCCTCCTCCTCATCCTCCTCCTCCTCTCCTCCTCTCCTGCGCTGCCCTCCTCCTGCTCTCGCTCCGCTCCTCCTCTTCCTCCTCTCCTCTCTCCCTCCTCCTCCTCCTCCTCCTCCTCCTCCTCCTCCTCCTCCTCCTCCTCCCCTTTTCCCCCTCCCCCTCCCCTCCTCCTCCTCCTCATCTCCTCCTCCTCCTCCTCCTCCTACCTCCTCCTCCTCCTCCTCCTCCTCCTCCTCCTCCTCCTCCTCCTCCTCCTAGACTGGGCGAGGTGCAGAGCTTCCTCGCGCCGACACCTGGCGTGCAGCTGGCGGCAGGCCACCACGCCGCCCTGCATCAGCTGCTGCAGGACCTGCCGCGCCTCTGGCTGGCAGACGAGGTCCCGGAGCGACAGCTCCGCGAACTTGACGAGCACCTCTTGAGTATCGTTTAACCAATCCCCATCCCCAGCGGCGTGGCCCGGGCCCCACTGGCCGATCTACCCCCCTAGATGGGGATGTAGGTCGTTCTCTTCGGGTTTCGAGGGGTATATCCCCAACTGGGGTGGTGATTTGGTGGGGGTCTCGAAGGGGATGGAGATGGGGATGGGGATCTGTTAAACGATATCGACCTCTGGCGGGCAGGGTGCCGCGGAGAGCGCGTCCGCCTGCCCGGCCACGAGCTCCAGGAACAGCAGCGCCTCCACCGCCGTGGAGGTCAGCAGCATCAGGCCGGCCGCAACCGACGCCTCCGGGGCTGCCGACGGGTCCACGGCGGCCCCGAGGGCAGCGGGCGCCGCGCCCCCGGGGGACAGGGCCAGGCCGGTCGCGGTGCTGCCGGGATCGAAGAAGGCCTTGCAGCCCTCGAGCGTCACGAGCAGCGCCGCGAGCTGGGCGTGGACGTGCGCGCGCTGCGCTCGGGACCATGTGCAGCGCCACTGCGCACCCTGGACGGGTGGCGCGGAGGCTGGCGCGGGCGGCCACCACTCGCCGGCCTTGCGCTTCAGGCGGTTGGCGCCAGGCGCCCTGGGTGGCCACGTGACCGCCATGACCGGCACGAGCCACATGGGCCTCAGGATCCGGCTCAGGTACAGGCAGAGGCCACGAAGGCGGCCAGAGGCGTTGCAGGCAGTGCGCAACTGCACGAACTGGCCAAACGCGGCCGCAGGGGGATAGAGGGTCCGGGTGTCGACGGACGCCACCGCCTGGGACAACCCCAGCTCGCGAGCCAACTGAGGTGAAAAAAGTACGTGCTGTGCCCGCTGTGCCACTATCTCCTCCTGGGGATCCCGTGCGACCGCGGGGCATCCGATCTCCCTGTAGCCCACGTCCCGTGCGGGAGCGCTGCGAGCAGCGCCAGCGGCCGACGCCAGCAGCTGGAAGCACAGCGCCGAAGTCTGCTCCGGCGTGTACCGCGCGGCGAAGTCGCGCAGCTGCGCCGTGTCCCCGCTCAGCAGATGCCGCTGCAGGGCCTGCAGTGGCTGGATCTTTGTGGCACTGTGGACGCCGAGATTCGAGACCACCAGGAAGCGCGTGGGGGGCAGTAGCTGCTGCCGGGCCAGCTCGCTGAGCGCCGCCACCGGCTGGACCATCGCCGCGCCGGGCCTTCGGGAGCGGCCAAGAGGGGGGTGTCCAAGAGGGTGGGGGTGCAAATCATGACCGGCGGCATGTGCGCGGCCCAGCGGGGGGGCCAGGGACGTAATGAAGCAAGAAGAGGCGCCATGAGAGCTGGGGAAATATCATGGCCCCCGCCATGGTATCCACCCCCCCAGTCATCACCCCCCTCTTCTCCGCCCCCGAGGCCTGCGGCCGTACAGGAACTGCAGGCCCCGGGGCAGCCGCTGCCCGCAGGCGGCCAGGGAGACGACACGGCACGGGCCCGCCCCGCCCACGCCGACGACGTCCACATTCTCGACGATCGGCGGCGAGCGAGGGGGGCAAGTGAGCAGGAGGAGAAGGCCTTCTCGGGAGGTTCGGAAGTCCCCCGCCCTTCCGAGGAGTCTTGGAAGCCTTCCCCGGAGGCAGAGAGCAATCTTCTCGGAAGGCGCGAGGGCTGCGGAGAAGTCCCGCCGCCGTCTGAGAAGGCCTTCTCCCTCTCATGCCCCCCCATCCCCACGGGCGCACCGCCGAATTCGGTTTTTGGGTCGTAACTCGGGTCTCCGGCGGCCGTTCTGGACGATCTGGACATCCCCAGAACGCACTCGGCGAGGCGCAGCTGCTGGCAAGCATCCCGAGGCGTGAACACGGCCGAGAAGCGACGAAAACATCCGAAAACTTCGGGCCTCGAATCATGTTGTTCCCATCGTACTGAAGGACCACGGCCAAGACATAATTTCAAGCACCCGGAAAAATGTCGAAAGAGTGTAGAGACAGTGTCGGATGAGTGTCTCCCAGGGCCCGACACGCGTGAACACCCTCGAGCTTCGGTATATTTTTGTTGGTGTTCGACAGTCTTCCTGGTGATCAAGGCTAAACTTAAGTCGGGCGTGTCCCCCTACAGGGGGCAGATTTAAAAATAGTCAAAACATAATCTGGGGACTATTCTTTTACAATGTTTGGGCATCTTTTGAATATTTCTTGAATATTGTATAATTTTTCGTCCAAAATCCCCCTGTAGGGGGACAGGCCCGACAGAAGGCTGAAGCAGGTTGAAACATCATGAGCCTCGAACCCGAAACTTCCCCCCCTCGCCCGCCGCCGAGACGAGGCCGGCGGGCGTGGCCAGCCACGCCGCGTGCCCGCGGCTCTGCCGCTGGGCCACGGCGCGGGCGTCCGGGCCGATGGCCACGACGACGTCGCCGCCCTGCGGCGCCCCCGCCGCGCCGGGGCCGCCGGCGCCCCAGGCACGACCTCAGGGGGAGGAGCAGGAGGAGGAGGAGGAGGAGGAGGAGGAGGAGGAGGAGGAGGAGGAGGAGGAGGAAGGGAGGAGGAGGAGGAGGAGGAGGAGGAGGACGACGAGGAGGAGGAGGAGGAGGAGGGGGGAGAGAGGGGAGGGGGGCAGAAAAGAAAAGGGAGGAGGGGGAGTGAGAGGAGGAGAGGAGAGGAGGGAGGAGGAGGAGGAGGAGGAGGAGGAGGAGGAGGAGGAGGAGGCGGAGGAGGAGGAGGAGGAGGAGGGAGGAGGAGGGAGGAGGAGGAGGGGGGGAAGTGAGAAGAAGAAAAGGGGAACGGGCAATGACACCAGCATCAGAACTCGGAGTTGGAGGCTTGGAAATGGGCACCAACACCAACAAAGGGGGTTGCCTCCACCTGGGGAGGATGATCCCAGATTTTGGTGTTGGTGCTAGTCTTTCGGCCACCTCGGAAGCCCGTGTATTACCACCATCACCGAGATCGGGATCGCCATCCCTCGGTGAAAGACAAATCAAAACTCCGAGGTCCGCGCGGACCTTCGAGTTTGTTGCTTTTGTATCACGGTTTGTTTCCCTAGACCTGCGGCAGGGCTCGCCGCGGGAGGCGCGCCTGCAATCTGTGCCACCAGCAGCAGGATCCCGTCGACCTGCTCGGCGTCCCTCACGCGCAGCTGCGGCGCGCTCGCGTCCAGGAAGCGGACGTGGTGGACCGCCACCGAGGACATCTGCGGAGGCTGAGCCTTCGCCCCGGCCTGCGCGCCAGCGCCGTCCGTCGGCGCAGAGGCGAGGGACCCGCCCGCGCCCGCCCTCTTGTAGTTGCCCCGCAGGAAGATCCGAACGCCGTCCTCACACACCGCGCACGCCACGACGCTCCCCCCGTCGTGCTGCCCCAGCGGGATCAGCCTCGCGACCGGCCTCGGCGAGGCCGCGGAGCCGGCGGGCGAGAAGCCCGCGTCGCCGAGCAGGCCGGACAGGGCGCCCGGCCGTGCGCCCACCTGCGCGAGGCCCGGGAACAGCTGGCCGCGGGCCTTCTGGACCTGCGTCGCGAGGGTCGTGTTGGAGATGGTGCACAGCTGGATCAGTGGGGGCTCGGTGACTTTACCTGGCTGCCCACCAGACCACCGCGACCCAACCCGAGGGCCCAAACTTCGGGCTGGGGGAGGCGGTAGGAGTTCCGTGCGTGTTTTTGTTGCAGTGTTCCCCGACGCCCCCCCTCACTGGGAGTGGAGGTCTAGTTGGGGCCTCTAGGTTGGGGTGGGGTAGTTTGGTGGGTGATGATTACCACTGGCATCTCGCTTGTTCGCGGGAATCTGGAAGACCACAACTGAGGAGGTCGACGTCAAAGAGAACATCAATCTTCGGGCGCCGTCCACTTCGAGTGCCTTGACCCCCGCCTCTGCTCCAAAAATCCGCAAGCGTGCCCCCCTGGCACGCCCAGGCGTGGCAAAGTCGGCGGCAACCCATGGGAGCCTCGCATACCATCTTGTCGGCTCTTGCGAATCGACGCTAATCGACGCTAGTCAACGCTCAATCGACGCTCATCGACGCAAGCAGACGCTAGATCGGCGCTATCTCATCGACTCCCGGACGCTCAACGACGCTGAAGACGGAATAAAAGGAGATACCAAGCTCCCATGATTTGCTGCCGAAGTAGAATACATAATGCTGTCTGGCCAGGCTTCTGTGAGTCCTCTGTGCGTTCACTCCCGTTGCCGCGCAGTGGCGCGTGCGTCCGCCCTCCCCCCCCCACATCCTGAGGCTCTCGGGGCGGGCCGGAGCTCCCCCTGGGCCCTCTCTAAGGCTGCCGAGACGGCCCGGGAAGGCCACCAGGGCCGCCAAGGATTGCCCAGCGCTGCTTGCACTGTTGGCGAGCGAGGGAAGCGAGAGGGAGAAGGCCTTCTCAGAAGGTTTAGAAGTCCCCCGGCCTTCGGGGAAGTTGTTGAAACCTTCCCCGAAGACAGAACAAACTTCTCAGAAGGCGCGACGGCTTCTGAGAAGCTCCGCCGCCTAGAAAGCCTTCTCCTTCTCACTTCCCCCCTTCGCTCGCCGCCGATTGAAGGGGTGCTCGACAGCTCGCAACAAGAGCCCAAGAGGCGCCGATGAGGGCCCAACGAGGATTCCAACATCGGCGGCGGGAGTAGAGGCCTCCAAGATGGGGTCCGAGTAGATGGGGTCCGAAGATCGCGCCGCATGGCCGATACGTAGCCGATACATCGGTGATGCATCGGCGATGCATTGGCGATGCTTCGGCACCGCTGGCGTGGAGAATCTCGGGCTCGGCATTGAGCCGCATCGCCGATTCATCGACGATGCCGAGCGATCCTCCGACCCCATCCACTCGTACCCCTCTGTGAGGCATGGAGGGAGGCGGGGAAGTGAGAAGGAGAAGGCCCTCTCGGAAGTCGGCGGGGCTTCTCAGAAGCCCTCGCGCCTTCTGAGAAGTCTGATGTGTCTTCGGGAACGGCTTGGGAAACTTCTCACAAGGCCAGGGAACCTCCAGACCTTCTGAGAAGGGAAATCCCGCCTCTTCTCACTTCCCCCCGGGCTCGCCGCCGACAATACACCACAGAGAAGCCGAGGAGGCCCTCCAGGAAGGCCATTATCGTGAAACAGCCAATGACGACTAGCAGTTGTTTGAATGCTTTGCTGCGTGAGGATGGCTCCAATCGGACCTCAGAGCAGCCCATCCGAATTCGGACGTCTCCTCCTCCTCCTCCTCCTCCTCCTCCTCCTCCTCCGCTCCTCCTCGCTCCTCTGCTCCTCTGCTCCTCGCTCTCCCTCCTCCTCTCCTACCTCCTACTCCCTCCTCCTCCCCCTCCTCCTCCTCCTCCTCCTCCCCTCCTCCTCCTCCTACCCTCCTCCTCCTCCTCCCCCTCCTCCCCCTCCTCCTCTCTCCTCCCCTCCTCCTCCTCCTCCTCCTCCTCCTGCTGCTGCTGCTCCTCCTCCTCCTCCTCCTCCTCCTCCTCCTCCTCCCCTCCTCCTCCTTGAGGCCTCGAAGCTGGCCCAGGGCAGCCCCAAGACGGCCGCAGGGCAGCTCGCGAGGCGCCTGGAAGAGCGCGAGGGGCCCCGAGGTGGCCCAACGGGGGCCCCCAGGAGGAGGAGGAGGAGGAGGAGGAGGATGAGGAGGATGAGGAGGAGAGGAGGAGGAGGAGGAGGAGGAGGAGGAGGAGGGGGGAGGAGGAGGAGGATGAGGGTAGGGGTAGGAGGAGTGGGAGGGGAGGAGGAGGAGGAGGAGGAGGTGGAGAGGAGGAGGGAGGAGGAGGAGAGGAGGGGAGGAGGGGGGAGGGGGAGGCGGGGAGGAGGGGGCGGAGGAGATGGAGGAGGACAACAGGGCCCAAGAGGGCTTCAAGATCCCCAACGCGCCCCAGGTGGACCTCATGAAAGCCCTCATGAAAGCACCCCCAGGAATAGAGGCGACCAGCATCATGGTTGGACCTCAGCGTTGTTTTGCTGGACTTCGGCAGTGCTTTGTCGTTTTGGGAGGGAGGTATAGGAAAACAGGTAGAGCAAAACGAAAAACAAAGGAAAACAAAACGAGAAACAATGTTTCGGTCCAGCTCTGACCAGCATCACACATCGTAGCTGTCTGGGCGGTGCTCGCAGCGCCGCCACTCCGAGCGCTGCGCTGGCAGGGTGGCAGAACTTGCCGCAGGCGGCTGGATGTACTCCGATGCCTTGCGCAGAAGTGTTGGCAGCGTGCTCTGAAGATTCCAGCTCACGGCGCGCTTCCGGCTCGGCTTCTGCCCGCCGAGCCAGGAGACGTCGTCGTCGAAGTACTGGAACTCGTGGATGCAGCCGTCACTGCCGCCCATGAAGATGCGACCTGTGAGATCGTCACACACAATTGTCCCCACCACGATATCGTCAGTGACCACTGCGTGCCGCGTACGTGCGATTGGGAGCAACCGGTCACTGTTAGGCGCGAAGCACAGTGTATGGAGCGATACCTCCACAGGCGTTGCCAGGACGAGAAAGTAGTTCACTCCAGAGACGAAGTCCTTCGGAGTGGCCGTGGTCACAGATACTATCTGCTGATCCACGCCAAGGTACTCTGTCACTTCTGGATCGCGAGGGTTGGCGTAGCTCCAGAGAACGAGGCGCGAGTCGAACGCCCTCCAGACGCGCTGGACGTCCCGGAGCACGCCCTGCTGCAAAAACTGGTGGCCTTCGTGGCCTGCGAGAAGCGGCGGCAGCGCTGCCGCAACGTGCTCCACCTCGAAGATCGAAGAAGAAA